TTTCCCCATAATATTTAACGACTCCAAGATAGATGAAAACTTTACTTTTATAACAAAAATGAGCAAGGATATCATCAATGTTTTAGAACCTGAATTCAGGTGGTCAATTCTTGACGATTTGAAAGATGGGCATACATATGCAATTCAAACAGATGCATCTAATAAGGGAAATATTTTTCAACAAAATTAAGGACGTTTCAAGAAAACGGTTAAACTTTTTCCCCTTAAATAGTGAAAAATCCAAAGACATAGTTAACCATATAATGGTAAATATAGCAGATTCGGGATTATCAATAAATTGCATGTTAGCTTTCTGATCTGACAATGCCTCAGTGAATTTGGAAAAAACCTGAGTGTATTTACAGAATTGAGTCAGCACAATTTGCGATATGTTCCTAATACCCGCCATCGATAGAATCTTAAAATTTTATAAACCTTTAAAAATAAATTTTTTAAATAAAGAATATAAAAGCTGTCCTAACATTTTGAAAATTTTTTTCAATAATAAATGGCAGAGGTATATTTAGGATTGATTTCACATGTAGGAAATCTACTACATGCTGTTTACAGTTGCAATCAGAAGAATCTTAAGAAAGATTCACAAAATTATGCTGCAGATGTGTTCATTATTACAGTTAAAAATTGACAATTAATTTTATGGCGCCATTGCTAAAACTATATTAAAATCTTCTATTATTTTAAAAATACCGATAGACATTGATGTCTTATTTGAGGAGATTGTAATGCTCTCTATTTTTGATTTACAATGTAAAAAATATATTATTTTATGCGAATGTATAAATAAGATTTTATAAAATATAAAAAAAATATGGAAAATTAAATAGTTATAATGTTAATTATATTTTATTTGAGATTTAAATAATGGAACTAAATGTTGCCGTCGTTATTGAGATATTTATAAAATTCCTGGCATGACATATTATAAATTTGTTTAATCATTAGCTCGCTCTCTAATGTTGTTAAATCAATCCGATTTCTCTCCTTTTTCCAGGCAGTCCTCATCAGGCTAAAAATGCGCTCGTATGAGGCATTAGAATGAGTGGATAAAACATACTCGCATATTTTTTCCGAGCATGGGGATTTATTGTTATTACGAAAAAATTCAACTCATTTCTCTTTAAAATTCTTTCTTTCTTTCTTTCTTTCTTTTCTTTCTTTCTTTCTTTCTTTCTTTCTTTCTTTCTTTCTTTCTTTCTTTCTTTCTTTCTTTCTTTCTTTCTTTCTTTTTCTTTCTTTCTTACTTACCAATTTTTAGGGTCAGTAAAAAAAAAAATTATTATTTTGAAATCAAATTTCCTTCACTCCCGTCCTCCTATTTTATGGATTACTCTCTTTTAAGGATAAAATAATTATGTGAAGATGGCGTTAGGGATTCTACAATTGAACGTCAGTTACCATGAATGACACATTCATGAATTTAATCTATTTATAAAGAATCAAAATAATTTTAGTAATCGTTCTTATCACTTGCTATCTTGCCACCAGGAATATGTCACGCTTATAAAAAGTTAATAAATTTTTAAAAGTATTCAAAATTAGTTTAAAAAAATAATAAAATCTATCAAAAAAAAGGGGAAAAACTACAATAAATCTATCTAAAATAAATTTTAAAATGTTTCAGTGGATTGTCCAAATGTTCCAGGGGGTCTTGAATTCCCCTGTGATTCCTCTTAAACGTCAAAATTATCTTCAGAAACCTTAATTCAAGATAAACGAAATTCGTATTTCGAGTAATATCTTTTTATTTATAAAAGAACCTAAAAAAAGGAGTGGAACTGAAATTTCTATATTCAGCATTAAATATTTTTAAATTTTATTAACTAATATGTAATTTTTATTTATTAAAAGAATATTAGAAATTCGGTTGAAATACTTAGTTTTATTTCCACAAATTATTATTTTTTATGGATTGTTCATAATTGGAATTGAATACTAAATATTTATATTTCGAATACAATAAACGAAAGTTAGATAATATTTGTGAGCCTTACTCAGATTTAACTCTCTTGACGTGAGGGATATCTGCTCATTCGGAAAATCAATCATTTCTATAATGATACTTTTAGACCATCTAACTTTAAGTATTCTGGCTAATCATAAAAAATAGAGAGAATTACAATCTCCTCAAACAAGACATCAATGTTTTTCTTATTAAATTACAAAAACTATCAATAGAGTGAACAGAGCTGTAGCGTGATTTTCTGAATATTTTTTATAAAGAATATTCTGATTGCAACTGAATATTAACTGCATGAAGTAGATTTCCTACATGTGAAACGAATCCCAATTATGCTTCTGCCATTTCACACTCGAAAAAATTTTTCAATATTTTAGGACAGCTTTTAAAATCTTTATTTAAGAAGTATTTTTTTAAGGGTTTGTAAAATTTTAAAAACTCTTTTAATTCATTAACTTTTTTAGTTGATGACTAAATTCGTTAAAACATTTCATCACAATTATTTCGACATCCACAGATAGTACATTTATTGCCTTCTTGCAAGAATTATGTAGTATATGGCATATACAGCCAATTGGTATTAATTCATTATTATGCTGCCTCAATTCGGTAACTTTGGTTTTTGCTAAAATTTACAGAGGCATTATCAGCGCGGAAAGCTGACATGCAAATCATTGATAACCCTGAATCAGCTATATTTACCATTATGTGGCTAGCTACATCGTTGGATTTAACAGTTTTATTGAAATGTTCTTATTCTTGTTGAAATAGCGAAGAATCGAGGGAAATGTTTTAATATCTCCCTTATTAGTTGCATCTGTTAGAATTGCATATGGATGCCCATCTTTCAAATAGTCTAGAATTGACCTCTAGGATTCAGGTAATAAAACCAAGTAAGGTTTGCACTTATATTGGAGTCATTAAATATCATGGGAAAAAGATTCGACCAACATTGTGATGATATAGCTCTGTGAATGTCGAACTACATGATAGGTTTATACGATTTCCGCAGCTGTAGTTGCATCTGTATTATTTATTATTTTTGGAGAATATTTTTGTATTGCAATCGATGTTTATATACGATATACTTCCCTGTACTGACTTATATGAATGAAATGATGATTTATTATTGTATAAAAATTAAAACAGGATAAAAAGAAATTTACAAATTATATATATTTTTCGAAATATTTAAAATTTATTTTAAAAATATAAAAATAATTAATTACTATCTCTCAAAATTATTATTTATATATTAAAAACATTAAAATACTTTTTAAAAAAATTGCGAGAGAAATTAAAAAATTGCGGTAGATTTTTGCGGGAGATTTCCAATTGTAGTAGTTTTGCGGAAGAGAGATGTCTGCGTGTAAACTAAAAAATTGCGGGAGTCTCCTGCTGATAGGGGGAGACATGGCAACCCCGGTCAGGGAGTGGGAAGAACTAAGGTGGATATTTTTTATTAGCTAAAAATGTTATTCACAAAAGTGATAAATTCATCTACCGATGAAAGCTGTGAGGTTGAACTTAAAAGATTCATCGCCCATAAGTCAAACAACAAGACAATATTTTGAAGTTTTGGAAGTAGGAATATACATTTCCTTTTTTGAGAAAATTAGCGATCAATATTTTGTCAGCCCGGCAAGTTCGGCTTCTAGTGAAAGGTTATATTCTGTAGTCTATCTCTTATTAGAGGAAAGACTTACACAATTGAAATTAAAAAAATGGACATTCTTCGTTTTCTAAATAAAAATTTCGATTTTTAATTTATATTTTGTTATTAATATGGATTCTGGAATTAATGAAATAAATAGAATAAATTAAAAAAAGTGTAAAATAATAACAATAGTTTTAAAAATTTAAAAACACCATGAATTTTCGGGCGTGAATCAAAATATTGCCCTTCATGAGCTGACGGGTCGGGTCGAAAATTTTTTATTGGTTAGCATGAATGGGCGTGAATTTTTTTATTGCCACCGTGAACGGACGGGCTGTGAATAAAAAATTAGACCCGTGCCCATCTTTGTAAGCGCTTAATAATAATATGAAAAGAGGAATCAACAATAACGGGGTATCAGAAAAAATGATAAATGGATATAGAAATGATTAATGGATCCTAGTCGAACCAAAACGTGATTTCGATAGAGAATCAACAATACAGTCGAACAATGAGAGGAGACTCAAGGGTCTAAAGAACCAATGATAAGAATGTTACAATTCGAGTCCTTGAAAATATCATAAAAGGCAATAATTATGGAAAGAGGCCGGATGCGAGGTTGAAGTTCAACGTTTAGTTTTCAGTCAAGTCGTTTTTTGTGTGTTAAATTGTAAATTCATTCTTGGTGAAGAATAATTTTTTTTCATTCTTTTAATATATTAATATTATTTGGAGAAATTATGCTTGTTTCTTAAACATAAACAATTGGCAAAATGAATATTTAATTTTATTCTGGATTTGGTAAAAATAAGACTATATTGTAATTCTAGTTGTGGCATATTTATTCCCCACAATATTATTAAAAAGTGATGATTTATATTATAAATATATATCGATTCGGTACAAAGGAAAACATTGATATCCATTAGTTGTAGAATTTCCAAATTGAAATCTTTACAAAGTGTTATTGACGACAACGGCTTTCTGAATAAATGTTTAGAAAGCTTGGTAGAATACCATAATATATTTAGAATAAAAAATTATATTTCTGAATAAAGAGATAAATGAAATGAGAGCTGTAAATAACTGTGGAAATAAAGTGTAGGGATATTATATTTTGAACCCATCTCCCTCTTAAATTGCCGATTTTGGTACAGGCCTTTTTAATATCAAATTTGTTTCAGTAAAAAAAATACATCTAATATTCTTAATATTACTAAATAAACAAATATAGCATAGGGTTGAGCTGTTTTTTTTAAAGATCCGTTATTTTATACCATTGGTATAAACCAAATAATATGGCTATTTTGTAGCACACATACGATAAAATTCGTCCAAAATTATTTTATTTCTCACATGGTTTTTTGAATATGACAAAAAAATACAAAAAATATAATATCAATGTCAATAAGAATATAAATTGTTGTCATTATCTTAAATCTATAAATTTAGAAAATTTTACTAATCATTTAAAAAAATTTGATTATAACAGTATTTTATGTGAGGTAATTCTTACTATATTTGATTTTATAATTACAATTTTTTAGCATTGCAAATTAGACTCCAACATAAATTATTGTATGTCATGTGGTAGTTGTGTAAAATTGATTTGAATAAACATAATTATATTTAATATATAGGTTTGTTTTGATCATTTATATCAACATTCTTCCAATCATCTAGAAATAAAAACATTTCTGCATTATTTGTTCTTGCATATTATAAAGAATAAAGATAATAATAAATCAATAATATCTTATCAAGTTTATTGTATTAAATGTAAGAAATATTTAGCTTCTAGAAACTCTGATGCATTTTATTTGGCCATCACAGAAATTGTCAATTTTGATCACAATAAAATTGTACAGGAAAACAATTCTGGAATTTTATTAATGCATAGGAACAATATAAATAAAGTTGGTACCACTACACATCTAAGGGGATTGCAGAATTTAGGCAATACTTGTTTTTTTAATTCAATTATGCAAACAATGACACACACAGTTTTGTTTTGTGAAGCTCTCAAATTTTATGACAATAAAAATTTAAATGAGGAACAAGAAAATATTATAAACAATATACACAAAAATAATATTTCAAATGGAAAACACAATTTAGTAGAATATTTACTTAAAAAGGAACAAATAGTAAATGGGGAAGCTAAAAATATATTAAAATTGGCAAATTCAGGTTAAATTATGATTTCAATAAAAAAATTTTATATAACATATAAAAGTTAGTGAATGTGAAATCCCATTGATATCTTCAACCAATAAATTTCTTAAAAATATGTCATCAATAACAATAGATAAGGCTCAATCACAGTTAAAAACTATTAATCCAAATGAACTTATCAATGCCTTTTATAGAAAGTTATTAACATTGATAAATAAAATTAAGCATATATACTTAGATATCCATTTTTCGAAAGAGGAGCCCAGCAAGATAGTCACGAGTTTCTTCTCTTATTTCTCGATTCTATTAGAGAAGAAGAGATTTTGCTATTTAAAATGATTCTCAATAAATTAAAATTAGGTATAAATAAATTAAATTTTCTAAAATGCTTTACAAATAACATAGATAAAGAAAAAATCAATCAACTATTAGGTGCTTCTAACATTGTATATTCCTCAGTTAATCATATATTTGGTGGAAAATTTTTATCTACATTGAAATGCGAAAATTGCCACAAAATAAATAATGTGATTGAACCATTTTTAGATGTATCTCTCTCCATCCCAAACATAGTAAAAAAAATATCCACTACTAAAAGAGTGGCCAATAACATAGAAAATTATTATCCTATTTTGGCCATTCCATGACAAATCAGCCAAAAAAATGGACAATTTTTTAAAAAATAAAATAAATTTGGCCTGATTGTTATTTATGACCTACATTTTATAAAATTAAAATTTTAGAGTGCCAGCTTAACCAGAATTAAATTTGCACCTTAAAAGTTTAAAATTGTGCAAACCTTGATTTCATTATTTTTTCAAATATATTAATGTTAGAATAACAATTTATATATAATTTTATTACCTTGTTTAATTAAAAATTGTTTTAAGATGTTTGGTCATAAAAATTATGACCCGATTTGGTGCTCAGGCCTGTTCTGAGCATGAACACAAACCCAGAGTGCTGAGACTTTGTGTCTCCAGTTATAGCTTTGATACTTATATAAAATTGTGGTAGTATAAAAGTAGCCAAACAGACTAGCATCTTTGGGAAATATGTCATCAAAATAAGATGGATAGCTATTAATGTTGTTAAACAGCTCGTTTTGAGCCGATTTTTAAAAATGGCTAACTCAATATTTCATCAGGAAAATATTACACAAGCCTGAAGATTTTCTCATAGATGGAACAATGGTTTGGACATCTATTGAAGAAAATCTCGAGGCTTAGGGCAATATTTAAAAATATTGAGTTACCCGTTTTTAAAAATCGGCTCAAAACGAGCCGTTTAACAATACCAATGGCTATACCATGAAATTCAAAATGATTACAATATATTTTCTTTAGTATAGTAATACTAAGTGTGCTTTGATTTTTGAAAATAAAAAAAGTATAAAGTTTATCCCATAGCAATTATAAGCATTTTGAGGAAGGTCCCATTTCATCAATAAATATTTCCCATATTTTTTTTAAAAAAAACCAAGATACACTTAAATTATTCATGAAAGTTAGCCAATTCTTTTTGAAAAATTTTTTTTATATAATTGGTCTGAGATAGTTAACAAATAAAAATCGATCTAAATATCAGTTATCGGATCGAGTTTGTGGTAATATCGAATGAAGTACTCGTGTTTTAATAAAATTTAACAAAAAAAAACACTTTTGTGCCTATGGAATTCTGCAGATTCATTGGATGTATTTAATAATGCGATGAGTATTCATTATAGTTCTTTTATTTTCATTCTTCAGAATTAGATTACTGAAGTAACTCTTGATATAACTAATTTTATTAGAGAGTGTATTTATTGTATAAGGTGGTTTAGTGTAATAAATACTCCATTAAAATAGATGAAAATAATATTATATATATGAATAAATGATTAATACATTTTATAATTTAATATAAATTAAAGAATGCAAGATCTTAAACTTATATATGTATAAAACGGTTACATGCCAATACCGCGAAAATTTTAGAATGTATTATCGCGAATGCATTACAGCGAATGTCGATTAACGCGAAATATTATTATAGCGAATGCATTATCACGAATATAATATTGCTAATGCATTACCGCGAATAATACAGCGAAAATCTTAAAGCGAATGCATTAGCGCTAATGTAATACCGCGAAAGTGTTATCGCGATTGTATTATAGCGAATGCATTATCGCAAATGTATTACCGCGAAAGCATTATCGCGAATGCATTGCAGCAAAAGCTTTACCGCAAATGCATTATAGCGAATGAATTATCGCGAATGCATTATCGCGAAAATGTGAAAGCGTATTTTTTATAGCGAATGCATTAACGCGAATTCTTTATCGCAAGTGTATGATCGCGAATGCATTATTTTAAATGAATTACTTTAGTTGCAATCGAGAATGGAGTTTAATGAAAATTACAATTTTATATTTATCGGCCTTTAGACAGACTTGGTTGAACCTGGAAATTAAGTTAAACATTTTTTTTTTGAAAATAGGACTAAGGCTTTTAATTTTTTTAACTCAAAATATATAAAAAAAATTCTAAGCAATAAAGTAGATTTCTCTGGCAATCTTATAACAATATGAAGAAACTTTAATTTATATTAATTTTTTCATAATTTTTCTAAATAATTTTAATGTAAATTAAAATTTCTTCAGAAGTTCAATATAAAATCTTCTGAAATTTATAGGGTGGGTTCTACACATATTGGAATGCATTTCCCGCAAAATTAGATTTAAAATTTAACGCAATAATTAATGATATAAAATGCTAAAAATAATACAACAAAATACCTATCAAACTATCGCCTTACCTTAATTTTGATTACCTTTTTATATATGGATTTTCATTATAAATTGTTAAATACAAAATTTTTTTTAGCAGAATCATATGAAATTCTCACAGTAGATTATCTTCGGAATAGATTTGGTAAAATCACATTTATCAGGGAAATTAAAAACGTGCAATAAATTAGATCAGAGAACTACAGGCCCAGCTTTAAACCCGGCCCGGGTTTAATGCTGGGCCTGTAGTTAAATTTAAAATTTTTTAAATACACTGGCCGGGCTATATATTTTAAAACCACATATTTTAAATTACCATTATTATCTATGTAATTAATATATAATATATTTTAAATAAATCCGGGCCGTGCAGATTAAAATAACTCACAAAGTATTAAATATTGATAAAATTTTCTAAAAATTTACGTAAGACAGGCTTAGTTGCTGATAGTTTTTTTGAACTGGCTACTCTACTAGTTAAAGCAAAGCACTAATAGGAACTCATAAAGAAAGAAACATTTTCATAATTTTAACATTACTACCTCTTATTAATTGTTCAGAATATTTTAAAAAAATAACCGGAAACTCAAAAATGTTATCATAATTATTCATAAACACCTCGGCCGAGAAAATTAGAATTTGATGACTAGGTTCATAAAAATTTTGTTTAAAAAATATATTTTAAAAAAAGTGCTCTCCAGGTCCCCCTGCTATAAATCACTTTAAATTCGCGAAACTTTTAAGATATAATTTATCCATGAAAGTTGTCCAAGATTAGCTAAAAATTATCTATCATAGATAAGAAAAAATCTTATTTTATTTTTAAAATTTTATCATATTATTTTATCGCACAGCGTTGAATAATTTTTTTTAAGATTACTTTATCCATTTTTTTATTCAAGGGTGTTCCGAGAATTTATATGACGGCACCTGGCTTGTTATTTGTTTTAAACTTAAAGCTATAAAATTAATGATTTTGACGATTACAATAGATTTAATAAGATGGAAATCTAATCAATGCAATGTTCCCCTTCATCTAATATTATTTACTAGCTAATAACCCGTCAAGAATGACGGGGTTGAGGGGTAATTAGTTAGTTTGTGTATATGTTACTAAATATGCTTTATATTAAAATTTAGGAGAAAAAGAGGTAAAATTGTTGCAATGTAACCCGTGAGCATTAAGGGTATTAGAAATATCAAAATTTAAATTTGTGATAGGAATCATATTGGGTAAAATTAAAAAAAGAGATTCTTCAAAATTTTTGAATTTTAAATATGGGCTAGACATTGGCATCAAAATTTTGTTTTGCAGACACAACTAGGCCTGATCAAGAAACCACGTCCCATGCAACTTTCATAAAATTTTGCCATTTATTTCTATTGTAATTTAACCCTTCACTACAAAGGTGGGGTAAATAGGACCCCACAACTTTTATAATCTTTGTAATACAAAAGCTAGAAGATATTCCGACCTGATTTTTTCAGTAGTTTAATATTTTGTAAAAAGGAATACAACTTCCAAATTTCATGATTATTGATTTGATAGTTTTTGAGATATATGCTATTTGTTGAGCTTGGGGTAAAATATACCCCACCTATGTAATGATGTAATTTTTTTTTAAAATCCAATTTTTTTTTTGTTACTAATTATATTTATGTATGTCAGGTTAATAAATATAATTGTAAAAAATATAATTATATCTATTTTTTGATTGATATATATGACTTTAAATTTGAAAATTTTATATTATTTATTTTTTCGGTGTAGTTAAAAATCATAAATTTAACATATGATTTTTAATTTCAATTATTCTAGTGACATTTTATACTTTGAAAATAGAATTATATGCTGGCAATCAGCCTGAAGGACCTTATAAATTGAGAAATAAGCCTTTTGATGTGGTTGAAAGGTTAATTCAGCCCATTTCTAAGAGTAATAGGAATGTCACCACAGATAACTGGTTTACCAGTTAAGAACTTGCTATACATTTATTAAATTCCCATTCATTAACAATAGTAGGAACTTTAAGAAAAAATAAATAGCAGTTTCCAACATCATTTAATTTTAAAAAGAGAGATATTTGTTCAAGTTTATTTGCCTGCTAAGATAATATGACATTAGTATCATATGTACCAAAAAAGTATAAGCATGATGCTTTCTACCCTTCACTATGATAACAATATTGATACATCAACTGGGGATTTGAAAAAACCAGAAATTATCACATTTTACAATCTTACCAAAGCTGGTGTTGATGTTGTGGATCAGCTATGTTCAAATTATTCAATATCCAGAATAACAAATAGATGGCCTATGACAATTTTTTATAATTTGTTGAATATATCTTGCATAAATTCTTTAATAATTTATAAATCCAATAATTTAAAGGAGATTAATAGATCAAAGTTTATAAAATTATTAGCAATGAAGTTAATAACTCTATTAATGAGTAATAGATATGAAAACCCACATGTTAATAAACTACTAAGGGATAATATTGGGAACATGCTAAATATAGAGGAATTAAAACCTATTTCAACCAAACAAAAAGGAAGGTGCTCCTCTTGTCCAAGGGTTAAGGACAAGAAATCCTCATTTATTTGTCCAAATTGTTCAAAATTTATATGCAAAGATCATATGTATGTAACATGTCGTGAATGTTTTTTTAAAAAAAATGTATGAACTTTAATATCAAATATTTTTTTTAATATCTGATGTTTTATTATAAAATTTATTTAATTATTACTATAAAATATTGAATTAATAAAATATATAATCAAATTTGCTTCCATTCATTT